TCAGTTTGCAAGACTGCAAGAAAAACCGGCACAGTGCACAATGCGCACGTTTTCCTCTAGATAGGGTTAGGGCTTATGATTTGGAAAGAAACCAGACTCTACTCAGGCTATGTTGTTTCCGTCCTCGTCTGGGCATGGAATTTTATTGGGGTTTAGGTCTAGCGTGGTTCATGTATGTTTTTGATGGAGGTTAGCTTCTTGCGGCAAGAAGGTTTTGTGCAAGTAGAACTAGAATAGTTGGTTCTGCCTCGTTTATATCTCATGTCGCATGCATGGTCAGACTTATCCGATTGCCAACGCTCTGAAGCCCTAAGCAACTAAGGCGATGTTACGACAAGCTCGCTGACGAGTGGCTCGTCTTGGTTCGTTTCATTTATATCCCAAGACCCTAAACCCTAAACCCTAAAGCATCTCGGCCCCTCGTCCCTCGCGCGTTTGAATCCCTGAAGCCTTGAAGCCAAAGCATGAACCCTAAACCTTACGCCTTTGCCCTCAAAGCTAGCACGCAACAGGCCCTGAAGGTGTGGAGGCCTTTCTTAAGACTTGTGTCGGGTGTCGGGTTCAGGATGCATTTGGGGGGCTTTCAAGGTTTGTGGCTTCCGGCGTCGTTATGTAATTTTAAGGGCTTTAGGGGTCTTCAGTCTTAAGGCCTTCTGGGTTTCGGGTTTAGGGTTTCAGGCTCGGATAGTCTGAGCCCTTGCAGGGGCTTTGACGGTTGACTGTTTAGCGGTCAGGGTGCCTCATGCATGTCCCATGCCTCTAATCCCTTAATATCCCACGAAATGTCTTGCTGGAGCCTCGGGATGTATCTTGGCGAGTTAACATGTGCTTCCTCAAAAATGTTGGTGAGAGTGTCTAACCTATCAAACTATCTATCTATCTATCTATCTATCTAGAGAGAGAGAGAGAGAGAGAGAGAGAGAGAGAGAAGCTGTGTGTGTGTGTGTTCTTGTGGTGATGCTAGAAATGAAGCCCTACCTCATATCCACTCGACTCTTCAGGTTCCGCTACCTGAAAGCACAGACGGCGGAGCCCCTGTCGACCTTCATGGACTTCATCGCGAGGGAGAAGATGCAGCTTCGGCGGCAGTTTAGGGTTTAGGGTTTAGGGTTTAGGGTTTAGGGTTTAGGGCTTAGGTTTTAGGGTTTAGGGTTTATTTCCCTACTACCCCCTCTATTCAGGGCCTTGTATACTACCCCCCCTAGGTTCCCCCCATAACTAAGGCTTTTTAGGGATAACTACGCCTAATCAAGGGTCTTTAAGGGGGGAATTTAGGGTTAGATTTCCTGAGATCGCCAAAAACCTGCCTTTACGAATCAGAGTGTTCGAGAGCTTTCCCACAATACCTAAGACTTTTTTCAGGATTTTACTGGGCCAACGGGATCTTGATGTTTAAGGCTTATAAGGGTGCTTAGGGGGATGAGAGCCCAACCCCCTTTTTTAAGGGGACGGCACGTTTTTTTGTTATTATTTTGTTTTATCTTTGGCTTGGGCTTTCAGGGCAGGGGCTTAGGGTTTAGGGCGACCTTAGATGATTAGGGTTTCGGGTTTCGGAGAGTTCTAGGACAAGCTGTAGCCCGCGGACGTGTTTCTGCAACGTTTTGGGTAAAATGTTGGGTTGTGCGTGGAGAGAAGGGGTTAAGGGTGTGAGGCTTGAGGGTTCAGCGCTTCAATCTAAGACCCCGCCCCCCTAAGCCCTCAACTGCAAAGCGTCGGGGGCTAAACCCTAAGCCCTAAAGCCCCAAAGCCCCAAACCCCTAAACCCCTAAACCCCTAAACCCCTAAACCCCTCCTAAAGCCCTAAACCCCTAAACCCCCAAACCCCCAAACCCCCAAACCCCTAAACCCCTAAACCCACAAACCCCTAAAAACCCCTAAACCCCTAAACCCCTGAACCCCTAAACCCTTAACCCCTTAACCCCTCCCTAAACCCCTAAACCCCTAAACCCCCAAACCCTAAACCCTTAACCCCTTAACCCCTTAATCCCTAAACCCCTAAACCCCTAAACCCCCAAACCCTAAACCCCTAAACCCCTCAACCCCTAACCCCTTAATCCCTAAACCCTAAGCCCCTAAACCCCCAAACCCCTAAACCCCTAAACCCCTAAACCCCTAAACCCCTAAACCCCTAAACCCCTAAACCCCTAAACCCCTAACCCCTAAACCCTTAAACCCTAAACCCTAAATCCCTAAACCCCTAACCCCAAGGATTGACAACGTTTGCATGATCATCCAGGGAGCCCTCAACAACAAGGCCAGGCCGCAGATCTTGAGTTTAGGGTTTAGGGTTTAGGGCTTAGAGTTTAGGGTTTAGAGTTTAGGGTTTAGGGTTTAGGGTTTAGGGTTCTGAGTTATATAGTGGCGAATACGGTGTCCTTGTGCTGGTCACTGAACTTCAGCTCCTTAGCAAGAGCAGTCGCCTGTCCGGTGTTGAGATGTTCATGGTCTTTGTTCGGCAGAAATTTCAACACAAGAACAGAGCTTGAGCCCCTAAACCCTGAACCTAAACCTGTACTGCTCTGGCAGCATTGGCCTTCAAAGCGTCCGTGGGGTCCCAAGTGTGTTTGCCTAAACCCTAAACCCTAAGCCTGAACCCGAAGCCCTATACCCTAAACCCTAAACCCTAAACCCTGAACCCTAAACCCTAAACCCTAAACCCTAAACCCTAAACCCTAAACCCTAAACCCTAAACCCTAAACCCTAAACCCTAAACCCTAAACCCTAAACCCTAGACCCTAGACCCTAGACCCTAGACCCTAGACCCTAGACCCGAACACCTTCACCAGGCGCCGAAGGAGCTGGAAGAGAAGATTCACCCTCTCGGCATCTTCGAGGGCATGAAGGCCCTGGGTTTTTTTTGAGCTTTTAAGGGTTTAGGGTTTAGGGCTTAAGGTTTAGGGTTTAGGGTTTAGGGAGAGTTTAGCGTTTAGGGTTTAGGGTTTAGGGTTTAGGGGTATAGGGCTTATGGTGTTCTTTGAGCTTTTAAGGGTTTTGCGAGCCATTCTTTTGTTTCCCAAAAACGACTGTTTGCTTAAGAAGCCCCCCCCCCCCTTTAAAAAAAAACACAATAATCCCTATCTTACACATACCCTAATAAGGAGAATATACATTTGTTGGGTGGGATTCTTAAGCAATTGGTAGAAAACGCTCCCGAAGATTGGGTTCTTGGAGTGAATACTGCAGATGATCCAAGGTTTGGGCTATGATTTTGTAGTCTTTGGGAGGGCCCTGTCTTCCTGTCTTGCAGTCTTGCTGTCGACCTGCAAAATGGCTCAAGCTTTTCATCTGCATTTCTGGGTTGGAAGCGGTTGAATACCAGCGCCTCGACCTGGTCCTTCGCATGGGCAGGGAAGTGTTTAGCAAAGTGACGGTGGTTGGGCTGGATGGCAGAACCCTGCTGGACGCCGCGGAGGTGTCAAGTCTCACTGAGCTGGAGGGGCTGGTACTCATGAAGATGGGTTCGGGCAAGTGGTGTAGCTGCAGGCTCCTGACTGCCGACGGCCATCCCCTGAGTGCGCTGGAGGAGGCAGCAACTAGGTAGGCCTTTGGGACAAACCCTAAACCATAAACCCTAAACCCTAAACCGGACCTTCTATATTTTTCCTTATTGGGTCTAAGAGGGTAGTATTTACAAACATGTTTCAGAGGGTCTTGTAAGGGCCATCCGAGGAAAGCACCGTTACCGCTGTCGCCGTTGCCCACAGCCCTCTCTTGCAGATGCTTGGCCTTGAGGATGGCCAAGGGAACCTCTTGGACCCTGCCGTGCCCCGGGAACCTCGGAGTCCTAAGTTGGGGGATCTTGCTCTGGCTTCAAGACAAGTTTAGGGTCTAGGGTCGAGAACTTAGGGGTTTGAGATTTCGGGTTTAGGGTTTAAGGTTTATGGTTTGGGGTTTGGGGTCTAGGGCCTATAGACGAACGTAGCCAACAGGATCCCCTTTGTTCTTAGTTGCCCAAGTGGGAACCCAGGAGAAGCAGGAGGAGATCGCTCTGAAGGTTGCCTCCAATTTCGCATCCTTGGTAGCGCAGTGGTACCCTTTTACCCATGTTTTTGGAGACGGCGCCTCTAAGAGGCCGTGCGAGTAACCACAATTTCTGGGCTCGGGGTGGGGTTGGGGGGGGGGGGGGGGGGGGGGGGGGGTAATCACGTGACTTGGGACTTCACACCTGCAACTCCAAAGCCTGAACCCCTAATCCCCAAAGGCCTAAACCCTTGCTGTTTAATTCGGGGTTTATAAGCAAAACGCGCCCGCGCCTAGGCGAGAGCGCAATTTCAAGCAAAAAATGTGTCCGAAACTTCAAAACGACACCCCCGAGAAAAAAACACAACAAACAAACGATCCTTAAACCCAAAAGAATAGTCCAAGCAGTGCAAACCCAAATCCGGAAACCTGAACCCTAAACTTTGAACCTTGAACCCTGAAGAAGAATCAACTTGAGGCCACTTTCAGGATCCAGTGCACAAGTCTGTTGGGCTACAACCAAAGCACAATTCCAGAAAATCATGCCTGCGCTGTGGCGAGAGCACTATTTCGAACCTGAACTGCCGGAGCCATAACGCAGAAAAAACTTCCCCAACCGAAAGTCGCCATTTGAAAGTTCAACATGGGGAATGAGCAAAACGTGCCCTCGCCTAGGCGAGAGCGCAAATTCGAGCAAAAAACGCGTCCAAAACTTCAAAAAAAAGGACCCCCTGGAAAAAAACAACAAAAAAAACGATCAGGCTTCGAGCGAAAATGCATTTTCCGAAAAAATGACCTAACCCTTCAGTGTTTTCGAGCACTGCAAATGCTGCGGTGATCACGAAAATGTGTGTTTTGCTTGGGTTTTCAGCCCTCGACGCGAAAAATGTAAACACAGAATGTGTTCAGTCACACGGCCTCTTACGGGCGCCGCCACCATGTTTTTTCGTGCCTAGGATTTAGTGTAAAGGGTAAAGGGGTAAAGGGTAAAGGGTACCCTTTTTGTAATATGGCTACGGGGCTACCAAGGCATCCATTGCATGTTGGTTCGGCGGACGTGGACACCTCTGCGGCTACCCGACCCTCTGACCCCGATTTTGTAAGCTTGGCTGATTCGGTGTTTACGATATCAGGGGTACCTTGTTGGGGTACCTATCAGAAGGGTATCCTACTATTTTCGGGGTCGAAATCAGGTTTCGTAGGCTCCCTTTTTGTTTTGAGCTTCCTAGTAGGATTGAGTTGGCTCGGGATTAGTAGGCAACGAAGCCAAAGTCATGTCTCTTTACATGTTTGTTGTTTTGGGGGGGAGTCAAGGAGCGTCAGCTGGAGTTTCAGCGACGTGCTCAAGCCGCCACCTGCGTTCAAACCCGAACAACCCGGTTCTTTTCTCCCGCAACAGCGGGTCACATGGGAGACCCCGGTGGTCCACGCCGGGGCAACCATCAAGTTCAGCTTGGCAAAAGGATCCCTGGTGCCACTAACGTTGGAGGACTTTAAGGCCGAGACTCACCTGACGGTTCGTGACGTTCGACAGCTTCTCGGGAAGCACGGTCTTGCATGTCGGCAGAAGCAGGAGGAGCTCCTGGCCGACTGCCCAGACGCAGTCTGTGTAGAATCGCACATCTGCGTGAAGGACTATAGCCTGGATTCCGTGCACTTTGTGCTGGGCTACGATCTTCTGTGCGACGCCGACTTTGAGCTCTGACCGACAAGTGTCACGAGAGCTCGTCATTGATCGTACTCGCACCGGAGAATGCTTCTTGTGAGCCCTAAACCCTAAACCCTAAACCCTAAACCCTAAACCCTAAACCCTAAGCCCTAAGCCCTAAGCCCTAAGCCCTAAGCCCTATACCTGAACCACAGGAGGTGACATCGTTCTTGCTGGCCCCAGCTAGTACAGAGGGCTTCGGCAGCAAGAAAAAGACTCGCGCATCAGCGTCTGCGACGATCGAGCGGAGCCACACTAAACATGTGGGATGTTCCCCCTTATACTAGCAGAACCGTTCTCAAGAGGGATTCTACTAGGGGGGAATTATAATCTCTATTAAGGACTGTTAGTATAAGGGGGAAATTCTTATGAAGCATCCTCACGACCTCAAAGAAAGCCCTACATACCCCTTGTAAGGCAAGGCAAGAACCCTACAAGCCTAAACTCCAAAACCCCAATACCTCATCCCTAGAACCCTAAATCGAAGGTCCTCAACCCTACAGCCCTAAACCCTAAACCCTAGACCGTACACCCTAGACCCTAAACCCTAAACCCTAAACCCTAAACCCTAAACCCTAAACCCTAAACCCTAAACCCTAAACCCTAAACCCTAAACCCTAAACCCTAAACCCTAAACCCTAAACCTTAACCTTCAGGCCCTAAGCCTAGAATTTAAGAGTTTTCATACTATCTTGCCCCTCAACCCGAGACCTGATCCCAACCACCCTCTTTTTAGTCATACGTACCTACATGATAGCCTAAACCCTAAACCCTAAACCCTAAACCCTAAACCCGAAACCCTAAACCCTAAACCCTAAACCCCCCAAATAAGGGCAGTTGAGGAATCTCGGCCAGCAAGCATCCCTAACCCCCAAAACCATACAGCCTCAACCTTATCCCTAAGATGCTTCGGTCCTGCTAAGCACTAGCCATCCCGAAAACTATACATACCGGGGGTCATTTGAGAAGGCAAAAGGAACAAATGCTAAACTCTAAACTGAGGCACCCAGAAAACTCAACCAACATTGGGGGGGGGGGGGGAACACGTCAAACGATCGCATGTTTTCTCATCTTGCCGACCTGGGGTGGATCGTTTGGGGTTTAGGGGTTTTGGGTTTATAGGGTTTATAGGGTTTATAGGGTTTATAGGGTTTATAGGGTTTATAGGGTTTATAGGGTTTATAGGGTTTATAGGGTTTATAGGGTTTATAGGGCTTATAGGGCTTATAGGGCTTATGGGGCTTATAGGGGTTTATAGTTATAGGGGCTTATAGGGGTTTCTGGGGCTTAGGGGCTTAGGGTTGGGGTTTTTTTATACCTTAACGCTACAGTCTTATGGGTGATACCTACGAATGAGGGGGTGGTCGCTAGGTAAATAGAGTCTTCCCTTATGATTCCTTGTTTCCCAGAAGGGCACCCTTTTTTTTCCTAGGGTACTCCCGGGTCTAGTAGATGAACCCATTCGGCCCGTAGCCCCCAAACCCTAAACCTAAAACCCTAAACCCCAAACCCTAAACCCTAAGCCCTAAACCCTAAACCCTAAAACCCCGAACCGCATGATGCCGCGCTGTGACTCGCAAGGTGATCATGTCGGAGAGCTTCGACGTCCAAGGCGCTCCAGAGTTTAGGTAAGAGCATCTGCAGGCTTGAGGCCTGAGGGTTTAGGGTTTAGGGTTTAGGGTTTAGGGTTTAGGGTTTAGGGTTTAGGGTTTAGGGTTTAGGGTTTAGGGTTTAGGGTTTAGGGTTTGGGCAGCCGTGGTTCTCCCAGCTGCGATCCTGTTCACAGGCGGTTTCGATGATGTTTATCGCATCTTCCTTGTGGACACGCCCATTGGACCCTACTTCGAGGAGTACCTGAAGGAGGCGCGAGGTATCCCTAAACCCTAAACCCTAAACCCTAAACCCTAAACCCTAAACTTCCAAGATCCCCCGAAGCCTCAAACCCTTGCCGATTTGCCAGGTAGCTTCACCCCCTGGTTCTTAGTAGGAAATAAGGGAATGAGGGCCCTACATATACCCTTTAAGGGATTATACAGGGTACCTCATTCCCTACTAAGAACAAGCGTTCAGGGTGCAGGGAGCACAGGGCAAGCGCTGGTGCCCATCCTAGCTAGGGGGTGCAGTTTTCCGACGAGACCAATCCCAAACCCCAGACCAACGCTAGACCCTAAACCCCAAACCCCAAACCCCAAACCCCAAACCCTAAACCCTAAACCCCCAAGCAAGCGCTAGACATCTAAAAGAGGTAATTGTGGTTGTAAAAAAATCAAACCCTTCACCCTAAACCCTAAACCCTTTACAGGTTAGGGAGTTCCAATGTCCCCCCCCCCCCCCCCCCAAATCTGGGGATCTGACAGGCAGACCGCGACAAGGACCTGCGCAGCGATTCATGGGTCAGGGCGCGGGTTCAGGGTTTAGGGTTTAGGGTTTAGGGTTTAGGAAAAATTGGGGGGTGGTCCATATTGTCAGGGAATGCGAATATTTGGGGGTCTATGTTAGGGGTCCCCAATCTTCGTAAACCCCCACGTGGGATGAGCTTCTAATTTGGGGTTAGGGTTCAGGGTTTTGGGGGGGGGGGGGGGTTTTCAGGGTAGGGCTTGATATGTTGACCCAAATAAGCAGTAGATGCGACTGGCATCTCCCCTTTGTCAATCCTCCAAGCCTAGGGTTTAGGGTTTAGGGCTCTTAACCCTAAACCCTACACCCTAAACCCTACACCCTAAGCCCCAAACCCTCAACCCTAAACCCTTAGGGTTTAGGGTTCAGGGTTTAGGGCTTTACGCCACACGCCCCGCTGCAGGATGACATGGCCCCTGCAGGCATCGAGACGTCACAGGTTGGTGGCATCCTGACGAAGCAGGACTGTCCTTGGCGTGTGGGGTTTGGGGACGAAGCAGGACTGTCCTTGGCTTGTGGGGGTTAGGGTTTGGGGTCTAGGGTTTGGGGTTTGGGGTTTAATTAGGATTTGGGGTTTGGGGTTTAGGGTGTAGGGCTTTTAGGTTTCAGGGAATCGGTCGACCTTGGTTGTCAACCTGCACCTAGGGTCCTAGGGTAGTTCACTCAATACCTTCAAGAAGGGAAGTCCGTGATCATGCTAAATCCAAAGCCCTAAACCCTAAGCCCTAAACCCTAAACCCTAAACTCCAACAGCATTCCCCGAGTGAGCGCTAGCACCAGCAACTTTTTCCTTGGGGGAGTTTCGGGTTTGGGGTTTAGGGTTTAGGTTTGGGTCATTCCCTGACCAGGTCCAGCGCACTGCTCAAGTAAACCTCCTGTAGTTTCAACGCCTGCCCCTGAAGCTGCACCTGAAGCAGCTGGGAATAACCTCAAAAGCCAAACCTCCACAACCAGTGAGGACTTTGTCGCATGATCTCTAAACCTTGCACCCGGCACCCCATAAACCAAGAGGACTTGGAGATTATGAAGCAGAGTCTGAAGAAGGCACGCTGCGTTTCAGGTTCATTCGGGCTGTATCGGTCCTCAATGCCAATCCCTATAAACCCTTGACGTTGAGCCCTCTTATAGTGTTTTTGGGTTTAGGGCTTGGACCCCTAAACCCTAATCCCATAGTCCATACATGTCGGAGCTCACGGTCCTCAGCAAAAAACGTGCTTGGGGCATTCGAGGGTGGTACGCTGGTACATCGCAACAGAAGCGGTCAAGCCTTAGCCCGAGATCCTGCACCCCAAAACCCTGAACCCGAAAGCCTAAAAGCCTCGCATGCTATACCCCTGAGGCCCTGCAAGGTTCCCTAATCCGAGCTTCTGTTTAATTGGTGGGGGGCCCCCCCCCCCCCCTCCACAATAAGGAATGCAGGGTTCCGCAATAGTTGGACCGTGGCCCTGTATTGATTCTCTATTAAAAACAATAGGCTGCAGATCCCTGAGGTGCTGTAGCTTTGCGTCTCCGCAAGCAAAACAAGAAGCCTGCCGACAGATTTTTGAACCCCCCCAAAAAAATTCCTTTAAATGTGGGGGGTTTGTCCCATACGAAATCCACCCTAATGGAAAGTAGTCTTCCGGCGGGCTTCCGGCCAAAAAAAAATTCTTTAAATGTGGGGGTAATAATTAAACTGATGCTCGGATTAAACCCTAAACCCTAAACCCTGAATCCTAACCCCCAAAACCTAAAACCTAAACCCCAAACCCTAAACCCTAAACCCTAAACCCTAAACCCTAAACCCTAAACCCTAAACCCTAAACTCTAAACCCTAAACCCTAAACCCTAAACCCTAAACCCAAGCCTGGGTTCCAGGCGTGGCTGGAGGACTTCTATAGCTTCGTGGAGAGTCAGGGCGGCACCACTGCGGAGGCCTTCCGGGCTGAGATTTGTAGGGTTTTTTCCGAGGCGGCTTGAGGGGTTAGGGTATAGGGTTTAGGGTTTAGGGTTTAGGGTTTAGGGTTTAGGGTTTAGGGCTTCCCGAAACTCTGGACCCCTAAACCCTGAACCTAGGGTAAGCCCTGATCCTAAACCTTCCACAGCCCTGAAAAGCACAGAGAGAGAGAGAGAGAGAGAGAGAAAACAAAAAAAAAAAAACAGAGAGAGAAAGGGGGAGTGCGGGATGCTGGGTCTGAAAGAGCAGAATTGTGCTTCTCGGGTTGCACTAGCTCACGCACAAGGGTTATTGGGTGTTGTTGGGCCTTGATAGGGCTTCTGGCGGCACATTGGAAGCTAGCCATGTGGCCTTTGAAAAATCTTGCGTGAGGTTGTCCTGGCCATTGCAACCAAAACCCAAGATCTATAAGGCCTCCCAACACCCACAGCCTTGATGCGAAGGTCATGGGCAACATCCTGAAGATGGAGGCGCATTTGCCTCACGTGTTCGGGGGTTTAGGGTTTTTGGGTCCCAGAGTCTAAGTATGTCATGCCCCTTGTTTCGACAGGTATGTCGTAGCTGTTGAGCCTCATGCCTAGACCAACGGGTCACCTGGCTAAGGCTTTGCCGAAGCAGATGGAGTTTTAGGGTTTAGGGTTTAGGGTTTAGGGTTAGGATGCCTGACATGCTGACATACCTGAGTCGGCATTCGGTCTTTAGGAGAGCCGCATCTGAGAGAAAGGCAGTAGACACGCAAAAAACCCCATCCGGTCCAAAATCGAGGTCGTAACTAGAAACACCGGCACCCCAAGCATTGGGGCAACTCTGTGTTTTTCTCACCCTCGGTATGGGGTTGTTGGATGTTACACTCTGCCTAAACCCGAAAACCCTAAACCCTTAAACCCTAAGCCCGAAACCCTAGAACCCTAAACCCTAAGCCCTAAAACCCTAAACTCTATTCTCGGGTCCACTCCTTGGCTTGTCTGCTCCTCGCCCTCGCCTGGTCTTTCTCCGCCGGGTCTCAAGGCACCCCAACCCCAGAGAATCCTCTCCTAGGTTGGTTTTTGGGACATTTTTATTTTCCTTGTTTGGGTTTATAAGGGACCCTATATATAAATATGTTTCAGAGGGTTTAAAGGCCAACCCAGTCTCAGAATCCCTGGAGAGCCGAACCCCAGAGAATCCCTTCGGGAGGGGATGTTCGAAGTAGAATCTGCTTTAGAATTGGTGCTTTTCGCTAGAACCCCAAGGCATTGCCGCTACCTCCTGAGCCCTGCCCAAGCGCAAAGACCCTTCGCGCTCCCTCGGAACAACAAAGCGTCCTCCTCATTTTCGAAGAAAAAGCCTCTGCAGACCACCCTAAATCCTAAACCCTAAACCCTAAACCCTAAACCCTAAACCCTAAACCCTAAACCTTGAAGTTGGTTTGGAGCCACTGTCGGAGGCTGACTTCCGCGTACTCTTAGTCACGCTGAACGCGCTGCCGCTTGTCTAACCGGTCGACGGTCGAGTCAAGACCTTTCGGCTGAGCCACGGTTTAGGGGTTGGGGGTTAGGGTTTAGGGTTTAGGGTTGAGGGTTGAGGGTTGAGGGTTGAGGGTTTAGGGTTTAGGGTTTAGGGTTTAGGGTTTAACTGGGCTTCAGAGGGCTGAGACTTCTAGGGCTTCGAGGGGCTTGGGGCGACTACGGGTTACAGGGTTTGGGGTCTCCGCCTCCTAGGCCCCCAAGCCCTTTCTTCTTGGAAGGCTAACCAAGAGTCCTATATGGGGTTTAGGGTTTAGGGTTTAGGCTTAGGGTTTAGGGTTTAGGGTTTAGGGTTTAGGGTTTATAGAAATTGTATAGGGTTTGTGTTCGGAGTTTTGCCGGGTTTTGCCGGGTTTTGTTTTTTGCTTTTGCTCTAGAAATTGTAAAGGGCTTGTGTCCGAAGTTTCTTTTTTTTTTGTTTTTCCGGTTTTTTTGTTCAACTTACTGTTCCGGAATTTTGGATAGAAATTGTCTGGGGGGGAGGCGGGGCTGGGGGCTTGGGGTTTTGGGGGTTGGGGGCGGGGCTGGGTGGCTGGGCTGGGGCTGGGGCGGGGTGTGGGAAGGGGTGAGGGGGCTAGCTGGGGTGGCTGGTTTTCCTTTTTTGACTGTGAAGGATGAAGGATTTTTGTACGAGCTGCTCGTAATGAATCACATACGATTTCTAGGTATCCTGGCCGTGAGGGTTTAGGGTTTAGGGTTTAGGGTTTAGGGTTTAGGGTTTAGGGTTTAGGGTTTAGGGTTTAGGGTTTAGGGTTTAGGGTTTAGGGTTTAGGGTTGAGGACTTTAGGACTTCTGCAACTAGCAGGCTTGGAACCGAACTGGCTGCTTTAGTCGGAGTTTCGTGCCTCGCTTAGGCCCTAAACCCTCGAACCTGGGCCCTAAGCCCTACGCCCTTACTTAAGGACTCCGATGTAGTTCCTTTTAAGGCCTTTTCAGGGCCGTTCTGGTTGTTGAGTTAAGGAGTATAGTATACCACCCAAAAAGGAACTACATCAGAGTCCTCAGACAACCTACCCTGCAACCCTAAACCCTGAAATCTGCTACTACACATGAAAACCGTTAACCCTAAACCCTGAATTCTGAACTCTAAAAATCTACTGCCACACCCGTAAACCCTGACTCCTGAACTCTAAACGCTAGCAGGCCCAGAGGCCTTGGACCGTAAATTTGGCGGTTGAGGGTTACATTTGCTCGGACCCAGAGCAAGGCCCTTATTCCCTTGTGCTACAAGATGAAAACCCGAAACCCCAAACCCCAAACCCTAAACCCTAAACCCTAAACCCTAAACCCTACACCCTATACCCTAAACCCTAAATCCTAAACCCTAAACCCTAAACCCTAAACCCTAAACCCTAAACCCTAAACCCTAAACCCTAAACCCTAAACCCTAAACCCTAAACCCCAACCCCTGAAGACCCAAATCCGTGCCCAGGAACACCAACCTCAGCACGGAAGCTTCGCTTGGGGAGCGCAACGCCCTGTACCCCAACTTTGGCTCCCAGCTTCAAGGAACTAGCAGGTTAGGGCTTAGGGTTTAGGGGGTTTACGGGGTTGTTTAGGGGGTTTAGGGGGGTTTAGGGGGGTTTAGGGGGTTTAAGAGGTTTAGCGAGTTTAGGGGGTTTATGGGGTCATTTTGGGGGTTTATGGGTTGGATTTGGGGTTTCAGTTAAGCTCAAGTCCTGAGCTGCAATCCTCGGAACCTCACACTGTATAACGCCACCTATGTACACTCCAAGCCCTAAACCCTATACCTTTCGGTAGCTGAGGCAACCGGCTGTAGGGTCTCAAAGGGATTGGGCATGTAGGGGCGTAGCGGCTTGCGGGGTTTGGTGTGCGTTTCGGCTTTGGGTTGCAGTACTCGTTCCTTTCTGGCCTTGAGCAGATCACCCTAAACCCTAAATCCTAAACCCTAAACCTTAAACCCTAGCCCTAAACCCTAAACCCTGGAGCAGACCAGGGGCTAGTCGACTATGGATCTTTCTTCCCCGATGCAAGTCCGGTCGGTGCAAAGAAGGATAGCCCGTGTAGAGTCTTGGCCAGGGGCGTCAAGAGTCTGGGATCTTGGGGCTATCGGAGGGCATTCGCGTCAACCCCTAAATCCCTGAACCGCCCGAACTACTACACCTCAAAACCCCAAACCCTAAACCCTAAACCTTAAGCCCCAAACCCTAGACCCTAAACCCCAAACCCTAAACAAAGCCCTGAACCGCAGCCGCGAAGCCCAGGCTACCTCTACCCTGAGGGGACGAAGGCGCCCTGGACAGAGGTTTAGGGTTTAGGGTTTAGGGTTTAGGGTTTAGGGTTTAGGGTTTAGGGTTTAGGGTTTAGGGTTTAGGGCTCAGGGCTCAGGGCTCAGGGCTCAGGGCTCAGGGCTCAGCACTTCGGGCTTAGGTCCTGGGTGAAACTCCTCAAACCCTAAGCCCTGAACCCTAAACCCTAAACCTTAAACCCCTGAACCCTAAACCCTAAACCCCTAAACCCCTGTGAAGCAGGCCCTATGGAAGGCGTACGACGAGTCCACGGTGCGATTTGCGCTTGAGCCGCGACTGGGCGGAGTTTAACAGGGAGATGTTTTAGGGTTCAGGGTTTAGGGTTTGGGGCTAGGGTTTAGGGGCGAGGGTTGGGGGGTTAGGGGATTGTGGTAGGGTCAGAAGGACTTAGGGTCTAGAGGGGTTCAGACTGGTGGTTTCGGAAGTGGCAGGGTCTTAGCCTGTTGGCCTAAGAAAGGTTTTGGTTATACAAAGCATGGGCATCTTTGGGGATTTAGGGTTTGGGTAGGAAACGTGTCGGGCTTGTCCTGGTGGCCGATGTTTTTAACCAGAGATCTGCTGCTCGGTTCATTCCTTCTTGCGATGGGGTGAGTCAGGCTTCGTATATAGGCTTAGACCTGATAGTTCTCAAAGATTTGTGTTGGCTTAGGGTGGGACTAGGGCTGTTGCACAGGGTTGCTTTGTTGTCGTGAACGAGGCGGGGTGCTTGCATGGACAATGGAGTGCCTGCCGGTCTCAGTCGAAGTTTCAGCTGGCCCAAAGAAAAGTCTTCCATGCGCAAGCCTACCCTAAACCTTAAACCCTAGACCCTGAACCCTAAACCCTGAACCCCAAGCCCTAAACCCTGAACCCTAAACTGCCTGGCTGCGCAGGTATTCGAAGTACCTCCACCTCTTCGACCAGGCACGGCGGGAATTAGGAGGGGAAGGCTTTGTGTAGCATTGGGATTTATCATGGGTTTCCCTACTACCCCCTCTTGGGTTTATAGGGTTAGGGTTTAGGGTTTTGGGTTTAGGGTTTAGGGTTTAGGGTGTAGGCCCATCAGCGTCTCTATCTGTCTCACTCCAGGGGAGTTGGGCTCAGGATGTTAAACGAAGCCGCAATTCCTAGGTAGGATAAGGGGGGCCCTTAAAGGGGAACCCTTCTTAACCCTCTTCTGGCTCTCTTAAACAGGGACCTTATCCAGAGGGTCTATATCCCCAAGGGTCCCCCAAATCCTATCCCCTAGCAATGAGTCCACACCCGAATCAAATTCTGCGAGCATAGGGGCCAGGTGGGTCTACATTAGGGTTTAGGGTTGCAAAACTCTGAAATTCAAGAAGCCAGAAACAGCTGCAAAAACTCGGAATATGTTCACTCCTTCCAGTGTGTAACATTCGCAGAGTGCTTCTGTTTCACTGGTTGCTCCTGGGAGCAAGTAGCAATTATTCGACGGGACAGCACCTTATCCCTGAAACCCTGAACTCCTAAACCCCAAACTCTAAACCCTAAACCCTAAACCCTAAATCCTAATTCTGATTGGTAGCCAGGACTTTGGGTTTAGGTTCCCCTTTTTTTCCCTAAACCCTACTGTAGGGCTTTGTGAGTCAGGGTTTAGGGTTTAGGGTTTAGGGCTTAGGGTTTAGGGTTTAGGGTTTAGGGTTTAGGGTTGTGAAGGTTTGAGGCCCATTCTCTTCCCATACGCACCACAGCTCACGTCCCAAGGCACCAATCAGCCCTGACCACCTACAAAAGCCCTCAACTCGGACCCCTTTTTAACCTCAAACTCTCAACTTTCAACCCTGTGCCCCGCCCACGCCCCTACTTCTTCCCTCTAACGCACACGCACACGCACTCAGTCACACACTTTCTCACACACACAGAGACAGAGACAGACACACAGAGACAGAGAGAGACAGAGCGGCAGTTCACACCAAAGAAACACAAGAGTTTTTCTGCAGGTCAAGGACTTCTATGACGCCGAAACCGGAGGGTCTCGGGCCGCGCCAGCAGGACACCTGTTGCTGGGACTACGGGGGTTCAGGGTTTAGGGTTTAGGGTTTAGGGTTTAGGGGCATCAGGGTTGAAGAGCGTTACGCCGGAACCCTGAAAGCGGAATGGCGCCCAACCAGAGCAACCACAAAACCCTGAATAAAGACCCCAAAGCCCTAAACCCTAAACCCTAAACCCTAAACCCTAAACCCTTAAGAGTGTAGGATGCTTAGGGCTTTCCGGCTTGCCTCTTGTCTAAGGGTAGTTTCATGATTCATTGTCATGGTTCCTTAATATGGTCTCTAACCTCCTTGAAAGGGTTCTGATGTGGCCCTTAGTTTGCATAAGGGGTATATAAGGGTTCCCCTTTTAAGGGCCCATACCAAAGGGACCATGTAACGACCCTTCACCCAAAACCCGAAACCCGAAACCCTAAAACCTAAATCTTAAATCCGAAACCTAAAACCCAAAACCAGAAACCTAAAAACTTAACCGTGATGCCTTTGTGTTTTTTTTCAGGGTTTAGAGTCGTGCCTTTCGTAACGGGTGAGCACGCAGGCAGTCCCGCCTCGATAAGTCCAGCGCTTTTTGGGGCTTTTCCTTCGTCGGTGTCATGTGCCTTTTTTGGGTATATAGGTTGGGATGTGCCCCCTCAAACAAACAGTCCTCAATAAAAATTATAATGGGGGGGTACTGGAATCCCGATTAAGACTCTTAGTATAAGGAGGAACATCCCAAAGTTTTGGTTGCTCACTTTAGGTAGCTTCTAGCGCTTTAGAACTTCCACCTGGGGCCTGCGGAACGCGCCGCCCAAGCTTCAGGAGCACAGTCCATCGAGGATCTGATCTACGCAGACCCTTGCTTGATCGTTTGCAGGGTCCCCCCTCCCCCCCCCAACACTGAACCCTGAACGCTGAACCCTGAACCCTAAACCCTAAACCCTAAACCCTGAACCCTGAACCCTGAACCCTAAACCCTGAACCCTAACTAGGGCTTAGTTCAATATCAGGCTCCTTTGCGTGCGGGTTTCGGGTTTCCGAGGGCTCCCAGGGGAGGGCCGAAAGCCTAGCAAAATACCCTAAACCCTTTTAGGGTTTAGGGTTTAGGATTTAGGGTTTAGGGTTTAGGGTTTAGGGCTCAGGGCTTAGGGCTTAGGGTTAAGGGTTAAGGGTTTAGGGGACCCTAAGCCCCATAGGGTATAGGAGTTTACTTCGGGCATCTCGGAATGAGAGTTGAGAGGCCGACTAGTGTGGATTTCTGTCCCCAGCCGCCGTTTTTGGGTTTAAAAATGCCCTGGGATACTGAACAGGTGTGACTATACTGGTGCTGCCTTCCTTCTGCTTGTACTCCTCACACGAAATCCTTAGCAACCAATCCCTTTGCAGTTCTCACCAACAATTCCTAGTACATACTAGCTTGCCGAAACTCACAGAGGACCCCGAAACCACTTAGAATGAGTTTTGAAGCAGAGGCCTAACGGGAATCCGTACTAGTCTGCCGACAAATGGCGTGGTCTTTGTAGCCCCGCCAAAGTCCCTGAACCCAAGACAAGGATTGACCCATGCTTCGCAGCATTACGGAGTATGACTGGCCAGCCGTTGTTTAGAGAACGAGCCAGACCCCCCCCCCTCCCCACCCTAAACCCTAAACCCTCAACCCTAAACGAACCCCAAGCCCAGGAGAATGTCCGGATGTACGAGATGGCTTTTGAGCAGCAGTACCACTTTGGCATCTTCTATGCCTGGGTCAAGCTGCGCGAGCAGGAGATCCGAAACATCAGGCGCTCGCGCGGAGGGGCAGTCGATCCGAGAGGAGTCTCGGGTTTAAGACCCTAAACCCTAAAACCCTAAAACCCTAAACCCTAGACCCCAAACCCTAAACCCTAAACCCTAAACCCTAAACCCTAAACCTAAACCCTAAACCCTAATCCCATGCCTCAAATTGGTCTCGGAAGGCTGGCAAAGACCACCCACCCCCTCTCTGCTCAAGAAAACATGACAACACAAAAAGCGCGTAAAGGCTTTACTGTTCAGAACCAAACTACGGATACTCACTTGGTAGCCCAGTGGTACCCTTTTCACGTTTTTTCTTTTGGTTCAAGTTTCCCTTATGAAGTATCCAACCCAAAAAGGGGTGCCCGTATCATAATATGGTTCCTGGGCTACCAAGATCAGGGGCCTCTGTACCCGAACGACCCTTAATGCGGAGCACCGCATCGTTGGGGGAGAGGTGTGGGATTCTAGTAGGGCCAAAAGCCAGATCACTCCAAACTATTTCAAACTCTTGATTCTGGTCCTGCTTAGGGGTCCCAATATAGATGTAGGGTTGAGGGTTGTAGGGTTCAGGGTTGAGGGCTATATAGGGTTTAGGATTTAGGGTTTCGGGTTTAGGGTTTAGCGCCTTAGATTTGGGATCTTTAGTGAGACCATGATTTCAGGAAGTGCCCCCCCCCCCCCCATATGGGTTTAGGGTTTAGGGTTTATAATATAGGGTTTAGGGCTTAGGGTTGAGGGTTTAGGTAAAGAGAAGAGACGTGGCAGGTGGATCGCGAACATGGTCGTCCTGAACACCAAGGACCACATCGACGACACCATCGTTCCCATCTTTCAGCCGCGGATGTAGAGTTCTGATAGCTGCAGGGATGCGCCCCCCCAGGGGAGCTTATCTACTTAGAGCTATATTTTTGAAAAGCTTTCCTAAACCCCAAGCACTAGACAACTTGTCAGCTACACCCTAAACCCTAAACCCTGAACCCTAAACCCTAAACCCTTATCCCTACTGTAGTCGGAAGACAGAGAACAGTCGAACACTTTGACTGAAGGCTTCCCCCGCTTGAGTCATGGGTTCCCATACTTCAGCACCCCCTCTATACTAGCCCCCCTACGTTCCCTCCATAATTAAGGTTATTTAGGGAGAATAAAGCCTAACTAAGGTCATATGAGGGGGTACCTAGGGGGGGGGGGGTAGTATAGAGGGGGGGTAGTAGACAAACCCATGATTCTGGTTTGAGGGCTTAGGGTCCCATAATATGCAAGTTATACTAGAGCTCCCCCTTAACCTTCTATTTGCTCAAGAAAATAATCCCTGTATTGCCTTTACTACGCATAGTTACTACCATTTGCTTAAGAACCGACCAGAAACAACAAGCGTTCTTCATTTTAAGTAGGGTATATAGGCTTCAATGAATCTGCGCCACGTAGGTTTGCGGTGAAGGCTTTGAGTTCTAAACCCAAAACCCAAGCCCTAAACCCAAAACCCTAAAACCTAAACCCTCTTAAACCCTAAACCCTTTGGCTTCTCGACGGGCTCTGGATCTCATAGCTGCACACCTGCAGGCGTAGGCTGAGACACGGCTTGGGCATGGTAACCTCAAGGGTCCAGGTGCCATTCTGACTTTTCGGCTTCGGGGGCATACTTGGGCCCCCAAAGTAGCTAATTATACTCGTTGATTCTCTATTAAGGGTTTAGGGGTTAGGGTTTAGGGTTGTGGACCCTTAGGGTTACTGAAGCAGCAACATGTTCCGGTTGCTGATCGCGAGTGCTCCGTCGTCAGACCACAGCACCTCCCTTCGACAGCAAGTATTTGGTTTAAGGTTTAGGGTTTAGGGTTTAGGGTTTAGGGTTTAGGGTTTAGGGTTTAGGGTTTAGGGTTTAGGGTTTAGGGTTTAGGGTTTAGGGTTTAGGGTTTGGGGGGGATTGAGGCTTGGAGGTCGACAACACATCCTTGCCATGTTTGGCTGTGGCCTGACAGTGTAGTCTGAGAGGCACCGAAATCTCCTTGGAGAGGTCCCTTATGTGACGATCACGTTGCCGCCTCCACGCGGAAAAGCAGCGCGCCGCCACATCCCTGAACCCTAAACCCCAAACCCCAAACCCGAAACCCTAAACCCTAAACCCTAAACCCTAAACCCTAAACCCTAAACCCTAAACCCTAAACCCTAAACCCTAAACCCTAAACCTCGAACCCGAAGACGCATCACCAGCCTCGGGGCAGATGACCTCAATCATCTTTTCTGACATTTGGGTCCCTGTTTTGATCCATCTTTTTTGGGTCTAGGGTCTTGGCTTATGTGGGTCCCAAACAGGGAGCTTAATTTAAGAAACTGAAAGCCTCGACACCGAAGCACCCTGAAGACTTCTGGATATTCTGGGCTCAGGGTTTTCAGGAACAGACTTGGGATTGTCACTGTGCGGTTTAGGGTTCAGGGTGTAGGGTTTAGGGCTTCTGCGAAGGTTGCTGGGAAGCGGGATGCAGAATGAGTGGGAGCTTAGCTTAGCTTAGGGATGATGGTTTGGCATTTAGGGAGGTTTCTACACGTGAGGGCTGGTCGAAGAAAGATGGTGAGATTGCGAAGAGTCAGGGCGAATTGAGGCTTTTGGGGGGGGGAGGTATCAATAAAGACTAACATGTAAGGGATACAAGGAGGTACCCCTACAAGGGAGCCTATATAACCCTTGTATATATATATATATGTATATACCTTCTTTAGTCCCTATATACCTGAAGAGCCCGCTACATTGCCCCACATTGCCCCTAAGGTCCCTTCTAAGGGTCCCCTCCTGTGTCCCATGAAACATCTTGCGAAGCTCCACGTCTGGGAGCCTGGGCTGCTCCAGCTAGGCGCTTCCTCTTGCAAGCGGTCGAGTACGAAGCCTCCGACCCTAAACCCTCTACACTCTAGCCCCTAAGCTCTGAACCTTCCGGGCCAGAAGCCTATACAGCATTACTACTCACCCTATAAACCCTAAACGTGGGATGGAACTAAACCCTAACCCCTAAACCCTAAACCCGAAACCATCTACAGCATCGATTCTAAGCCAGAAACCATCGTCCCTCCGGGGTGCAGGTAATGCCGTCGTCTTATGCCCGGCGCCCGGCACGCTTAGGGTTTAGGGTTTAGGGTTAGGGTTTAGGGTTTAGGGTTTAGGGTTTAGGGTTTAGGGTTTAGGGTTTAGGGTTTCGCGCCTTTTCCCGGGGGGTATTGAATTTCCGGGGGCGGGTGAGACGTCCGTGCTAGTGTAGTTCTTGCGGTGGACGGCATGCTTGCTGCAAAGGCGGATCTTCGGCCCGCTTATTGCAGGCCGACCAACAAATACCCGCCCCGCGCCGTTCATGAGGCGGCCCAACCACCCAAACCTATTCCTTTTAGGGTTTGGGGCCTAAACTTTAAAATATACATATATCTTTACAAGAGGATGGAATATTCCCCTTAAACGCTTTTTGTCGGTAAAATGGAGGGGCGCCCAAAACCATCGAATTCAGGACTAAAGAATCGCCTCTTTAATTACGGGTCTGGCAAATCCTTGGATTCCCGGCTTTTCGGGAGTCTTTTTGAAGCCTTTTGGTGGCGTTTAAAGCCTTTTGGTAGCTCATGCTTCCTGGGGCTTTCCTGGCCCTTTGGGGGAGAAAATGGAGGGGCGCCCAAAACCATTGATTTCAGCAATAAAAAACCGCATTTTTAATGAAGCCTTTTGGTGGCTTTTAAAGCCTTTTGGTAGCCGCCTTTTCGGGGGTAAAATGGAGGTGTGCCTAAAACCGTCGATTTCGATACCAAAAAATCTCATTTTTAATTGCGGGTCTGGCAAATCCTGGGCTTCCGGCGTTTTGAGAGGCTTTTTGAAATGCCTTGAGGGCTTTTTCGGGCTTTCCGGACCCTTCTGGGGCAAAATGGAGGAGCGCCCAAAACCATCGATTTCAGTACTAAAAATTCGCATTTTTAATTGCGGGTCTGGCAATTCCTGGGCTTCCGGCTATTTGGGAGGCTTTGTGAAGCCTTTTGGTGGCTTCTAACGCCTTTTGGTAGCCCTTGAGGGCTTTTTGGGGCTTTCCTGGCCCTTTTGGGGATAAAATGGATGGGCGCCCAAAACCATCGATTTCAGTATTAAAAAATCGCATTTTTAATAGCGGGTCTGGCAAATACTGAACTTCCGGCTTTTTGGGAGGCTTTTTCTGGCTTTCCGGACCCTTCTGGGCAAAATGGAGGGGTTCAAAATCGTATTTTTAATTGCGGGTCTGGCAATTCTGGGCTTCCGGCTGTTTGGGAGGCTTTTTGAAGCCTTTTGGTGGCTTTTTCGAAGGCAAACTTTCCCTTTCAAGGGGGGGTCGGAGTTTGAGGCGGGGGTCTCCAAAGACTATTTTGCTTTTAAAATTGAAAAATGCGACCCCCCCTTGACCAAAATTAGGCATTGAAAAGCGCGCGGGGCCTGTCAGGCCTTTCGGGGTTTCTTGAAGCCTGTTGGGGCTTGCAAAGCCATTTGGATGCTTTTTGACGCTTTCTAAGCCTTTTTCAAGCCCTCAAGAGCCTTTTGGAGGCTTTTCTAAGCGTCCTGGACCTGCCCAAAAGAGCACGCCGCCAAGCTCCGGTTTAGGGTTTAGGGTAATATCTATAATATAGTATTGTTGGCGTACGCCAAGGGACAGGCATACTGTCCCTAATGAGAACAGCTCCACGCTTGTGGTGCCACGCACGTGCTACTTGTAATGTTCCGTGGTATGCATCATTCCATCTGGGACAGCAAGTCGCAAAAGTAGCGAGGGGCGCTTTGGCCGCAGTTTAGGGTTTAGGGTTTAGGGTTTAGGGTTTAGGGTTTAGGGTTTAGGGTTTAGGGTTTAGGGTTCAGGGTTTAGGGTTTAGGGAGGGTTTAGGGTTTAGGGTTTAGGGTTTGGGGTTTAGGGTTTAGGGTTTAGGGTTTAGGGTGTAGGGTTTAGGGTTTAGGGTTTAGGGTTTTTTCTGAGCCAAATTGCGAAGCCCCCTAAGGCATTATTTCGCCCCCTGAACTTACTGAACCAATAGTTGAGCTTTTTTGCTTTTTGTTTCCTTGTTTAATGAGAATA